ACCCTGGGAGCCCCCCGGCATCTCCGGGCGAGCGCTCCGGGAGCCCCGGGGATCCCCTCGGCACTCCCGGGGACCCCCTGGCCGGGCGGCTGGGGTCGGCTCCACGCGAGATCAGCCTCCGTCCAAAGCTGAGCGCTTTATTAATGCGGGGCAAAACCAGTGCAAAAGTCTCCGTCGCCCCAGCGCCAGCCCCCGCACACGCAGCCTCGTGAATGAACGCGTTCATGAAGCCACGGGATCGGCAGGCACGGCCCGCGGCACACCGGGGCCGGGGGCTGCGGGGCCTGCGGGGTCTCGGCTCTGGAGCGGTGCCTGCCACTTTCCCGGCTGGATGGAGCCCCGGGCTCAGTCCCCTCGGTGACTCGGCATCCCGGGTTCCTCGCCGCTGGCCGAGGCTTTCCCAGCCGGGCTGGGGCCATCCTGCTCGGGGATCCAGCGCTTCCTGAACTCAGAGCTCCTCGGCGTGCTGGGGAATGAACCCCCTGAAGTTCAGACGCTTCAGAGAGAGACAAGCCCATCCCGGCCCACCGCCGGCGAGGCTGCAGGGAGCCGGGAGAGCTCAGCCTCACTCCGCGAATCTCGGAGGTGGAGGATTGTCTCCCTCTCCCTCTCCGGGAGAGCACCGACACGGCCCGTGGCTGGAGGGGTGCTCCCGCTCCTCCAGCCCCCGCTGGATCCCACCGAGCCCCTTCCCCCCCGGAAGGCACTTCATGAACGCCTCGGCCCCAGAGATCACCGCCGGGGGCTCCCGGAGGGGATTCGGTGAGAGAACGAGCAGGGTGTAAGAAAAGCGGGTCGCAACCAGTGAGGAATAAGCGAGCTGCGGGTGGGATCCTTGGCACGGAGCTTGGCGATCTAGGACAGTGGGGGATCGATCTGCCGGTCAGCCCGCCCCCGATTCAGCCCCTGGGCTCCGTGCTAAACCCGCTGGCCACCAGCCTGTCCCCGGAGCCAGTGGCCACTCAATGTGGGAACCGGGCCGGTTCTGCAGGGACAGCACGGCTTCGGTCCCCTCCCTGTGAACCGACAGTGACACGGCTACTGCGCCACGAGCTCCTCAAAATCGGAGAGGTGCCTCATCTGCTCTGCCTGCATGGAATGTCTGCGGAGGAGCTTCCTGTGGGCTCTCAGGTCACCCCGCCTGGGTGAGCCGGGGGCCAGCGGCACCAGCGGCTTCAGCCCAGCAGCCAGCGGGGCTTTGCTGGAGCCAATGTCAGGAATCGGAGGGTTGGGGTTCACGTTCAGGGGGGGCAGATATCCTGGCCTTGTGTGGGAGATGTGGTCCAGCAGCAGGGTCCCGGATCCTCGCCTCTCCAGCAAGCCGGGTGGCCGGCGCCGGCCGCTGCTGGGCGATGTGCTGGTGCTGCCGGAGGGAGAGTCACAGGAACCATCCAGCAAGGCCAGGTGGGAACCGCTCAACTTCCTCCTCTCTGGTGGCCCCTTCCCTGCCTCGGTGACCTGGGAGTCCCCGCTGTGTTCAGTTCCTGGCCTCCACCGGTGCGGCGGCTCCATCCCCGCAGCCGAGCTGGCGGCCGAGCTGGAGCTCTCCGGCTCCTCCGGGACTGTGATGCTCCGGGAAAGGCATGGGTGCGTGCTCGGGCTCTTCTCGTGGCTGCCTTTCCGTGCCAGTGGCCCCAGTGCCTGCTCATCCACTGGGGGGAAGAGAGAGGGGTCCCTTCCCTTGCTGCTGCTGCTCCGGCTGAGGGAGGGCTTTTTGGAGAGCGAGAGGTCGCCGATGCCCGCGATGACCTCGCTGTCAGCGCAGAGCCGCGTGTCATCGCGGTGACCAGAGGCCGCCAGCACCGAGGGGGCCACCAGACCCCATGGCTCTGACCGCAGGCGCTTCAGCCGGGGCAGGTGGGCTCTCCGAGCAGTGCCAGCTCTCTGGCCCGGGGAGGGTGGCTCAGCATCCCCGGTGTGTGAAGGGTGTGCGGTGGGAATGCTGCTCTCCTTCCCGGCAGGGGAAGGTGCCGAGATGGGAGTTTTCAGGTGATCACCAGAGGGGGCTGTGCCCTCCTCGAGGGGAGCCCTCTCCTTGAACTCCAGCGCAGGGGCGACGTTCAGGTACTGCTTGGCGGTCTTGGTGCCGGAGGCTGATGTGTCCACGGTGATGATGATCACCTCCTTCCCCTTGGCTCTGCAGGCATTCAGGAGGTGCTGCAGCACAGCGTTGTCCTCGGCATTGATGGCGTGGACCAGCGCCGAGGCTCCTGAGTGGTCCTCCAGGCTGGGGTCTGCCCCACTCTCCAGCAGCAGGGACACCACATCCCCCCCAGCCCCTCGGATACAGGCGTGCATGAGGGCGGTTTTCCCAGACTTGTCCTGGATGTTGGGGTCGGCTCTGTTGTCCAGCAGGTATTTCACCATCTTGGCCTTGTGGATGCTCTGCTGGTCGACGTGTGTGGTGATGCAGGCCACCATCAGCGCGGTCTCCCCCTTCTCGTTGCTCTCGTTGATGTAAGCCCCCCCTTCCAGCAGCAGCCGGGTCAGCCGGAGCCGCCCGAGCCACACGGCCTTCAGGAGGGAGTTGCCCCCCAGCTCCAGCTCCGTCGCTTCGTCCATGGCTGCTGCTTCCCTCTGGGTGATGGCACCTGCGGCTGGCGGCTGTGGGGGGAACCGGGGAGGAGAGGTGAGCCCCCTGCTTTGTTCCTGGGATGCCGTGCTCCGGGCACTGCCCCACATCCCACCGTCCCTCTGGCCATGCCCACCTTGTGCAGACAGCCCGGATGTCTTGGCTTCCCCAGGAGATCAGAGAGCTTCTGGTGGTCTCCACCGGCCTGCTGCGTCTGGGGGGCCACAGCATGAAGCCCACTGGAGACTGTGTGAACTTCCCTGATGGCTTCCTGGGCTGAAGCCGGGATCTCTGCTTCCTCACTGCAGGAGGGAAGGAGAAACAGCTACTGTCATGCTGTCTATTTTGTTTCTAGTGCCTCCTGCTTCTACCTCTTTACTAACCCCCACTGCCGCCCACTCCTGCTGCCCCCCGCTCCCTGTCTCACTCCTCAGAGCGTTCCTGGAGCCCTGAGCAGCCAGTGCCCCCCGAGCGTCCCTGGGGAGGGCAAAACCTGCCGCCCCTTCCCCACCCCTCGGTGCCCTCCATGCGGCCCCTGGACCTGCGGTCAGTGCTCACATTGCTCCCAGCCCCTCCCAAAGGTGCCCCCGGTACCACTCCCTG